AAAAACTACTCTACACCCTCATTTTTGAGGGTGGGGAGCATCAACGCCTGCTTCTCTATCCACGACGATGGATAGTTGGCCGGTAAATGGCATCAGTCCGTGTGGAGTTGCTAAGCTCACTCGCACGCGCTGCTTTGTCATTCGGTCCACGTCATCTGACAGCGAAAATCGCCTCACTGTTTGCAATCTCACTACCTTATCAACTAGTCCACAGTGCCCTCGACTTACTTCTACTTTTTCTGCACCAAAGCAAGTCATTTCGACAAACAACGATTATGAGGTGGTCTGATTACCAGCTCCACCTCCACACACACCCACATTTGTCCCTTAAAGGTACCACTCCATATATGACGTGCATGTAGGACAACTGCAGCTCACTTTTGTAAGGGTTTGCACAAAGCATTGGGAGCCAAACACTCGCACCTAATATCGATAGCCACCCACATCCTCTCTGTAAGTGGTGGCTGGCTTAATTTCGCCTCATTTTGTTGTCTGTGCCTGATAGCGGTTGTACAACCACCTTTACTTCGCTCACACCTTCCTCACTCATCTCGTCAGCATCTCATCACACGCCAATTCGGTTGTGATGCAGCGCGACACACCGAATGCACGTCAATATAATATTCCACCTCTGGCCTTTGGCTTTCTACAACAATGGCAATGCAGGGAAAGCATGTCGGATGTGACTTGAATCCGCATCATCACACGTTGTCCACTATTCACATGGATGACAGTGCTGTGAAGTGTGTCGAGCAACAGATGGCCATTACGATGGGTTGATGCTCGACTATGCCTATTGCGCTGAGGCTGAGATGGAGGAGTGCGAGTGTTATATGGCAGCCATCACAACATTAGCCTCCTCACTCACAAATGCGCGTGTAGAGCGGTCGTAAGTTCGGGGAAATTACAACAATGCTGACCCAACAGACCTGCTTTCTTGGGAGGCTGTTATGATGTGACGCGAAATTACAGAGGACAAGTGTCCGCAGTGTGAGTCGCAGACCACCATGTCAAGTCGTGCCATGCCATGCCATGCCATATCATTTGAGGTAGCGTCATACTTTTTCCTTCTACCAGCAACTAACTTACTCAGACCAGCACTCCAACCTTCATCGCAAAGGAGTTGCAAAAATCTCACCACACCACCCACCTCTTGCAGGAGGCTTTAGTGAAGAGGACCGTGGAAAGGTGGAGAGGTGGGCACGGGACTGTGTGCAATGGTGGATGTGAGGGAATGGCGTCGAGTTTAATCGTATCAGCTGCTGCTGGTGGAAAGGGAGAACACAGGACGCCTCTCACAAAAGACGCCTTCGTGGAGTGGGGCAAGGAAAGGCCACTTACCACTCGCCACTACCAGAACCACTAACAGGACGACACTGGCTGTAAGCACCACCTTATTCGCTTCACACTCACAACTCATCTCACTCACATTGCTACGCAAACATCGGCCCATCGTAGTGGCTCACCTTGACCTACAAATCCGCTTGTGCAAGCCATGGCAACTTCATCCCCTCACCGACGTTGGTGTTGACAATCACTATTCGAGGTAAGAGGAGAGTAAGCTTGTTGGAGACGCTTCGTCACCACCTCTGCTGGGCATTGGCGTGTCTCAGGTGGTAAGACTGCTTGCTCCATTGGACAGTCGGGTCGCTTACTTATTGTTGATGCCTATCTTCACTGGTCGTTTCAGTAACGTAGGAAATCACTGCTCGCTGACTTTTACACGATCCCATTTGAGATGTGATAGGTGAATGGATGCGAGTGGAAAAAGCTGCTGCATGGTGGAGGGAGGTGTCTTCAAATTACGTCGATGACTTTTATACGGTGGAAGTGATTCCACCACCTAATCGTCGGTGTGCATCGCTGGCACAGAGGGCAACACGTAGGTTGTGTAGAGGAGATGAGTGTCCTCCTCATCCACTTCACCAACACGTAATTGAAAGCGCAAAATTGTCAACGTGTTCATAGATTTCCCCTTAATCATGTCAATTGACAACCACACCGAGTTTGTCAGTGCTCATTATTTTTCCAATCCACTCTCTTACCCCTTAAAACCCTCTGCTGTTCGCACCTCTTCCTAGAACATGACGCAAAACTACAGTGTGGTTGTTTGCGCCTCTATGGAGGCCGAATGAGCACAGCTGAGATTGCCATGAGGCGTGCTTACTTGATTCGGTGTCAGAGATGCCTCCTGGCAGACCATTTCACCTCTGTCGCTGTCAACTGCGCTTATCTTGTCCACTTTTAGTTTTTTTTGAAGGCTAGACAAGCTTTTGCTGGAAATGCAGCAGCTAACACGGCCGACAAAGTGATGAGTCCCTTTTGCACTCTTTGCGTTGCTCCATTTGAGAAGGGCAAAATCGAATTAGTGGGCGCCAAACTGGCGATCCCAAGGTCTCCCAATCTATTCACATCTTATGTTCTCTACTGCACTGTTTGCCTGGTCCATTCAGCGGCCTTTATTTGAGGGAGGAACAAAGAACTCAGTGGGAGAACAACATTTTCCCCTCATGCCGTTGATAGCACCGAAATGTTGTTCACTTTCCAACTTCATCAGCTACAAGTGTGATACAGGTGGCAGCCGATGTGGTTCACTCCTGAAAGTCGTGTCTGTGAGTCACGAAACATGATCACCATCAGGTGGGTGTCCTTACAGCCCCTCACATCAAATTCGAATTTAACGAGGCTGCCTTACATTGTCATTGTTGCCCTGTTTCGAGTCAGACAAACACATGGCAGAAGTGGTTGCTGATGAGTGGAAAAGAGGGTGCGAGTAGTTGTGGTGTGGTTGGTGGAGGGTTTGGTTTACGAGGTCGTTGAGCAGCGATTGCTTGAATTCCATCAAAGGCAGATGAAATGGAGGCAGATAGAAATGGTCTGTTGGGAATAAGTAAAGTGCATTTCGTTTATATTTGGCGTGAAAATTAGCTGCCAGTGTGAAAAGTGGTTCACTGTCATTTGATAGATCAACTTGACATATTTTCGCTTTTTTGAGTAATAGAGATACACCTACTAAGTTGGAGATACGAATCCAATACAAACAACGAGATGGTGTGTGAGAGGTTCTCGTGCGCGTACCGGGAACAAACTTTCGCCCCATTAGCTCGCAATCCGTGCTGCTCTTATCCAAAGGCAGCAGATTCGTAAGATGCCTACCAAGAAGAAGGAAACAATCTCTCCCTTTCTTAGACCACGTGGATTTTGCGGTTTGTCTCCTAGCTGTGCGATTCAACATTCACTTATAATTTTGGCAGCAATGCGTCCCTTCACACTTTCTTCTTCTTCTTCTTCTTCTCTTGGCTTTGACCGCGTCGTAGGCGTTCTGCTCCTCCGCCGGTACGAATTCGAAGCCTAATGCGATTGGACATTTGACGCTCTGTAGAGGCGACAACTCGCACTCTCCAATATTAACTCACTCCTGCCTATTTACAAGCTTTATTATTTCTTTCTCCCCACCTGCCTCGTAACAATACCTGACGTTCTCCTATGCAAAATTCAAGTCCAGCACTTCCCTTCCGCCTCACTATCGCCACCTTCTACAGTACCATTTTCCCTTACATCCCCACTAATCCTTAACGCGAAGTGGTGCAGCAACTGTTTTAAGCCCGAAATTCGCACACATGAACGAAGACTTGTTTTCTACTTTTGTGGTGCTCATTAACGCCACAAATTCGACTATATTATGTGTACTCATTTGTATCTCGCATTACTCTCCATGGCAGCCTATTTGTTTGTTTACCACTGATTTGTTCTTGATAACCTCTTTTATCATCCACTACACCTAATCAGCACTTTGTATGTCGAAGTTTTGTACTCATTAAATATCACTCATTTACATTTTTGACGAATTTATATTATCAATACAATCAGCAGAATACCGCCTTCTTTATAATGTAATTTTTTGTAAAACGACGAGTGCAAATGACTTGTGGATTGGTTAGCGGAGGGTTCGAATGAGAGCCGATAACGCAGAACGGCTTTCACACTTTGCCGGATCTTGTCCAACTGCTGCAGTCGTGCTAGCCACCACCATGCACTGGTATTCTGTATCCGGAATCAGATTTGCGACTACAGTAGAGGTTGTCTCGTTGTCTTTAGTAGTGACACTATTTGCGGTGCCGCCGTGTGAAGTGGTAAAGCAGGTAACTTTGTAGGGTTTAAGGATGCCATTGGGGTGTTTAGGCTTTGTCCACTTCACTTTGATTTCTGTAGATGAAATAGCCTTTCCTGTCGGACGTCGTACCCGAGACGGTGCTAAAGGGCGAATGGTGTGCTACACTGACACAGTGTTGATTGCCAAACACATGTCCCACCGTTATTTTATCACAGGGTTAATGGAACAGATGCCAAATTGTGGAGTCATTTGAATGTAAGAGTACAACAGCGATTGAGGTGGAAATAGCAGAAGTTGCAGTAACATGAGAAAGGGCATTAACAGGTTTACATTTATGATAGAATAATCCACTAGGACTGCCAACTACCGACTAAACGACTCCTCCCTTGTACCACCTGTCGAACAATCGCATATGTCCTTATTAAGATGGTGCTGCTTCTTGGTCAATTCAAAGTCAGATACGGTTGTTCATTCTCACCCACTATGCTCAAATAATGAATGAGAAAGAGTATCACCAATTAAGCATACTTTGCGCCTTGGTACTAATAGGATTCGAATATGCGGATCGCCTTTGGAACTGTGCCGGATCCTTTCCAACTACAGGAACCGTGCTGGCCACTACGCTGCACTGATATTTTGTATCAGGGATCAGGTTGCCGACCACCGCAGAGGTTGTCCTGCTGTCCTTAGTTGTGACTATTTGTGGTGTGCCTCTACGTTCAATGTCCACACAGCTGGCTTGATAGGGTTTGAGGACACCATTGGGGTGCAGGGGTTTCCGCCACGTCAGTCTAATTTCTGTCGGCGATATGGCCTTTCCTCGTGGACGCTGTACACGAGTGGGAGCTGCGGACAAATGAGTAAACGCTGTCATCGACAAGACCTTCCTTTACCGCCAAAATTACTGACACTGCATCAAGTGGAAAGAATTCTGGACTGCAGACATGGTGTCAAGTGTAGTCACCTTGTCGACGTAATTATAGGGTCAGACAATGCAATGCTGTGGATGTCAGGTGGGTGAAACTCACCAGTCGGCCATGTTCTAAAGGTACGCTCTATGTTAAAAACAGCTGCTCCGTTTTGACGTCCCTCCACGACTATGCTGTAAGTTGCGTAGGGTTCAAGTCCATGAAAGATGATCCCTCCACTCTTCACACTGACACTTCTCTCCCTCTTGATGTGCGACCCAAACTTTTCTTCAAGCGTTAGTCGAAGATAATCCACCTTGTGGTGAGTAAAGTAAGGAACATTCCACCTCAGTTCAGTTGCGTAACAGCTAACATTACGCAAATGGAGGTCAGGAATGAAGGACTCCCTTTCTAAAAGAGGAATATTGTACAGTTAGTTGTGAGCATTATGCATTCTGTCAAAAAAGCAGATATTTTGGCGTTCACTGCCTCTCCATCCACATTGTATCAAAGGTTGAAAATATGGGAGAACGCTGGTTAATGATGGAGTAATGATGTCATTGAAAAGCCTTCTGCCAAAGCAACAAATCGTTTCCAGTCAGGTCAGTTAGTTTTGCAAATAACGGCTTTGACAGACGATGGTTTCTGGAATTCCACTGTAATCTGTAATTATGCATTCAGCCACCCATGCGTACATATTTGTATGCTTTTGACATTCCTAGTTGGCAAATCAACGGAAAGAATAAAGATCGCACAAGTCAGACTACCGGTTACAGTTGGATGGGGCAAGCAAAAGGGAGCAAATGTCGTGTCGTTAACAAATGCAAAGTTATGCTCT